TGAAGCCAGACAAACATATCTATCTAGACCCAGCTTTGCTCTCTCAGACACTGCTTCTTTTCTGCATCATGGTGACCAAGAGCAGGAAGGGGAGCTGGAGTATGGAGTCTCAGGACCCTAGCCCTGGCTAGGCCACTCTTACCATGTGGCCTTGGCTATCACTCCCCTGCTCAGGCCTTCTGCTTCCTCATCTCTGAACTCAGGGGAATTTGGCCATTGTCTTTGCAACTGTGTTTCTATTTCTACAGCTCTAGCTCTACTAGCTTGGAGAAGGCCTTGAGCTCAGGTCCCTCTCTTTCATCTGGTCATCCCTATTGGAAACATTTACTCTCCTGACTATCAAGGCAGCTTCCTGGACGTTAGGGTGGAATGCTAAAAAACAGCTCCAGATGCCACTGACTAATGGAACAAAGATGCTTCCCCACTCTAGTCCTCAGTTTCCCCACTTGATCCAGTAAAGATAATGACCTCTTTGTGTCTAAGGGCTGCTGTGAGTCAGGGTTAATTAGCATTAGTCACAGCCTGTGGAATGCTCACAAGCAGAGGGGTCACTGGCTGCGTCTGTACGGCACTGTACTGGAATGACACGCCGCTCTGGCCTGTGGCCCCATGAACATGCAATCCAAGCTTCATAATTGGCATGCCTCATTTTGTGGATTGGCCTTGGAGTGACCCAGTCTGAGCGCTGTGTGGTGGCGGGACACAAAGACGACACCTTGGGATGGCTGCCTCAGCACTGTTCTGCCTGCAGAGGTGGCTGCCAATGGCTTATCTCCCCTGGTTTCCTTTTTCAGCTGCCTTCCCAGTCAGCCAGGTTTTTAACCTTGCAATTTGTACCTCTATTCCAAGATGCTGGGTCTTAACCCTGATCTTTTAGGAAGGTTAGTTTCCATCCCTGGCTCTTTAATAAATATCCATTCTCTCCATTTCTCCCCATCCTCACTGATCCCTTAATGCTTTTTGTTTTTGTATGTTTTTTTGTTTTTCCAGGTAACTGGTCTAATTGACAATGCAAACCAGGCAGCCTAAGCCTTGAGCAGGTGAATTGAAGCTGGGCTAGGAAGCAAGACCTGCAACAAAATAAGTCAAGCAGGGCACAGGTGGCTCACATCTATCTCAGGAGGCTGAGCAATGAGAATCAAAGTTCAAAGACAGCCCAGGCAGACAAATTATAATAGACTCTTCTCTCCAATTAACCAGGAAAAAGTTGAAAGTAGCACTTAGCTCAGCTCAAGTGGTAGAGCCACAGCCTGGAGCAGAAAAAGCCAAGCAACAGTGTAAAGCCTTGAGTTCAAGTTCCAGTACTGGCAAAAAAAAAAAAAGACAAAGTAAGAATGATGCTAAAATGAGAAGCCATTTGAAAAAGGGAGTGCTGTTCTGCTCACCACTGTTGATTTGCTGGTGATCAGGTAGGCAAGTCCAGGGGCAATGTTTGTCTTGCTTCTGCAATCCACGGGAAATAAGTATGGGACACTGGCGGCACCTAGTGGCTCTGGCAGGTACTGCTAGCAATACTACTGGATCCTCTCACCCCTTCTCCCCTGGTCCTGGGGGTTTGAACTCTGGGACTGGGAGCTAGCTGTCCCTGAGCTTCTTTTGGCTGGAGGCTAGAGTCTCATGGACTTTCCTGCCCAGGCTGGCATTGATCTCAGCCTTCTGAGAAGGTAGCACTGCAGGTAAGAACCACCTGCGCCCAGCCTACTGGTCCTTTTACTTTCAAGTAACCTACTGTGGACTTAGTCTCCAGATTTTTGAAGAGTTGAGAGATGACATATTCCTCAGGAAAGGAGATTTTCTAGCCACTTGACATCTAGAAAGTCACATTTCCTTTTTTTTTTTTTTTTTGCTGTGAATCAGAATCACCTGGAATCTTGTTTTTTAAAAAAAAAATTCAGTTGCTGGGCCGCACCCTAGAGGCTCTGATTTAATGGGTTTAAAATGGGGCCCAGGCACCAGTGTTTTTAATGAGCTCTCTAGTTTTCTTTTTTTTTTTTTTGGGGGGGGGGGGTGTCTGGTCGTGGGGCCTGAACTCTGGGCCTGGGCACTGTCCCTCAGCTCTTCAGCTCAAGGCTAGCGCTCTACCACTTGAGTCACAGCGCCACTTCCGGCTTTTTTCTTTTTGCTTATGTGGTGCTGAGGAATCGAACCCAGGGCCTCAGGCATGCAAGGCAAGCGCTCTACCACTGAGCCACCTTCCCAGCTCCAGTCACATTTCCTCTAACATTACAAAAGAGATCTCACCTCTAGTTTCACATGTTTTCTTATATTCATAAAGGAGGAATTTAAGGGTGATCATACTGGGTACTCGTAGCTCATGCCTGAATCATAGCTACTCAGGAGGCTGAGATTTGAGGATCATAGTTAGAAGCCAACACAGGTAGGTAAGTCTGTAAGACTCTTATTTTCAATTAACCACCCAAAAGCCAGAAGTGAAGCTGTAGCTCAAGTGGTAATGCCAGTTTTAAGTGAAAAGGGATTACACCCAGGCCCTGAGGTCAAGCCCCAGTACTAGCTTAAAAAAACAACAGAAAACTTTATTATTATTCTGTTGCTATTGTTTCTCAACTATCTTCTATCAAAGATACAGAAACAACAAAAGAAACAAAGTGTAAAATTGAAATACTGGGGAAGAAGAGAGTATCAAGTTATGAGAAATCTTTGCTAGGTTACAGATTCTACAGTTCGTTTTACTGTAAAGATAAAAGAAACTTTCAGTTTTTATTTTTTGTGCCAGTCCTGGGTCCTGCCCTACCACTTGCGCATGACCCCAGTCTGGCTTTCTGTTGATTAGTGATGGAGTCCAATAAACTTTTCTGCCCAAGCTGGCCTCAAACCACAATCTGCAGATCTAAGTCTCCTGAGTATCAAGGATAAGTGTGAGCCACTGGTTCCTGGCTTGAAAAAGACTTTCAGCCTTTGCAATCCTGGTTTCCTTCCTTGGAGGGGTGTCTTGAGTTCCTTCTTTGCACCCCATGTCAAGTTCTTACCTCCAACCTCCTGAGGGTTGCTGCTGCCCCACGGTGAGAACAGTCTGTTCCCACACATTTGCTACCTGGATAGTGCTAAATGGCTGGACAGAAGTGAGCACAGAAAGTTGGCACTGTAATAGTTTACAGTGCATTAAGTCTTCTGATAAATAACCCAGAGACCTTTACATGACCCCTTTCCCTCTACTGGTTTCAGCTACATAACAGTCAACCGAATGAGAGGGGCAGTGTGGAGAGAAGCAATGGCCATAACTGTAAGAAGGGCAGTGAGGAAGGAGAGACCACAGGCTAAAGATGGAAAGATGGGTCCCTCATTGAAGGGCCTATGTCCAGCATTTTTGTCTTAGGGCATGGTTTTGGCTGGCCAGATGATGGCTATATAAAGCCACAGAGAATCCAGAATAGCAACACGGCTAAAAATAGAGAGGAAAGCTGAGGAGGAGGAAATGTCTGCACTTTTGTTGTTGGGCAAGCTATACATGCAGCTGTTTTGCTGCTAAGTGGGATGGGGTGAAGGGATTTGAGAGTGGAGGGGGTACTTGGAGGTAGCTGCCATTGTCCCAGAGCAAGAAAATGCTCCATTTGCTCAGTCTAGGAAAGCTAGCTAATGTCTAAAAAGAGCCAGGAAAGATCCCCTTCTAGATACTAGTATACCATGAGGCGTTTTTACCGAACCTTTCTATTAGGAGAGATGACTCGGGTTTTTGAGTTAGGAGAAGAAAAAAATCAAAGAATCACAGTGACTGAAAGATACTTCCAGTTGGTGAGAGTGCAACAGAGGTCAATCTGACTGAACCATAACATATGTACATGTAAATGACCATGAAACCCCTTTGTACAATTAATATACATGAAAAAAAATGACAGGACAGTGAAACAGGCTGTATTGGGGGATGGGTATCATCAGGAGTGGGGAAGGCCCAAGGAAGAGGGTGAAGGAAGCTGAATTAGGGTCAAAGTATTTTACATGCATTTATACAGACAGAATAATAAAACCTGTTGAAATTGTTCTGAGTGGAATAAGGGAGAGGAATATTGGTGGTGAGGCTGATGGGGTACGTCATATGCATGTGTGGAAATGTCATAATAAAAGCCCCTTGTGCAACTAATTTATGCAAGTTAAAAAAAAACCAGGCAGGGCTGGGAAGGTAGCTCAGCGGTAGAATGCATGCCTTGCAAGCATGAGGCCCTGGGTTCGATTCCTCAGCACCACATAAGCAGAAAAAGCCGGAAGTGGCGCTGTGGCTCCAGTGGTAGAGCGCTAGTCTTGAGCTGAAGAGCTGAGGAACAGTGCCCAGGCCCAGAGTTCAGGCCCCATGACCGGCAAAAAAAAAAAAAAAAAAATCAGGAAAAGAATGTGGAAACAACCTCTGCGCAGCCAGGTCTACTGGATCAAGCTTGATCTGGGGCAGAGAGCAATGTAATTTACCCTTTAAAAAAATAAGACTGACTGAGGTGGCACCAGGGGCTCATGCCTGTAATTCTTTTTATTTTTGGTCCGGTCGTGGGGCTTGAACTCTGGGCTTGGGCGCTGTCCTTATGCTCTTCAGCTCAAGGTGAGAGTTCTACCGCTTGAGCCACAGCACCACTTCCGGTTTTCTAGTGGTTTATTAGAGATAAGAGTCTCATGAACTTTCCTGCCCGGGCTGGCTTTGAACTGTGATCCTCAGATCTCAGCCTTCTGAGTAGTTAGGATTACAGGCGTGAGCCGCCGGCGCCCGGCTTCATGCCTGTAACTCTAGCCACTAAAGGGCCTGAGATCTGAGGATCAGAGTTTGAAACCAACTTGGAAAGAAAAGTCCCTGAGACCCTTATCGCCAAAAATCAAACAAATCAAATCAAACCAATACAAAAAACCTACTGAGGCTTAAAAAAAAGACTATACCTATTTAACCAGAATTACAAGTAAGTCTTCATGTTTGCAGCTACTTGGAAAACCCAAAATTCAACTTTGTTTACTGTTCCTCTGAAGTGTGCAATCCCCTAGACTAAGGGAAAACAATACTCTAGCAGTAAGAACTGTAAGAAACCTTTTATTAATACACTCATATTCCTGGGATATAAGAGTCCTTATAACACTGCCGCACTACAGTGTAGACTGGATGTTACCATGTGGGTCTTCCATCTGCTTTTCTAAAGCCAGTCTTTCCACAGAATACAGCTTGCTTACCTTCCCTGTCCACATGCCTGTGGAGCGACTTGCCTTTCACTTGTGCAGACAACTACTGACATCCACTGTCTTTGTGAATGCAGGGGCTTCTGGTGGTTAAGCCAGGATGGAGAAAAACAGCATGGGCTGACCAAACAGGAATTCTGACTCTGTTTCAGTGTCTCTCTTATCCATTTCTCCTGCAAGGGTTGGTATATCTTCAGGATGAGGATAATGATTCCAACTGCCGGAATATTCGGAACACTTTCCTTGATTTCTCTGAGAGACTCTATAGGTAGAAAAGTATATTAGGATAAAATTCTTTTGTAGAAACAAAAAGCTAGGCAATAGCTTTAGAAATTGGTCAGATCATTTCTCCTACAATGATCTAGATTTACCTAGATTGAAAAAAAAACTATATATATATATATTTATTTTATTTTATTTATTTATTTTGGGTCGGGTTGTGGGGCCTGAACTCTGGGCCTGGGCGCTGTCCCTCAGCTCTTCAGCTCAAGGCTAGCGCTCTACCACTTGAGCCACAGCACCACTTTCGGCTTTTTTTCTTTTTGCTTATGTGGTGCTGAGGAATCGAACCCAGGACCTCAGCCATGCAAGGCAAGCGCTCTACCACTGACCCACCTTCCCAGTCCCCAAAACTATATTTATTGTGTTAATCCTGGGGCCTAGGTACTGTACCTCAGCTTGTTTTGCTCAAGGCTAGTACTCTACTACTTGAACCACAGCTCCACTTCTGGTTTTCTGGTGGTTAATTGGAGATAAGAGTTTCATACGGCTAGGAAGGTGGCTCAGTGGTAAAGTGCTTGCCTTGAATGCATGAGACCCTGGGTTCAATTCCTCAGTACCACATAAACAGAAAAAGCCAGAGGTGGCACTGTGGCTCAAGTGGTAAACCACTAGCCTTGAGTTGAAGAGCTGAGGGACAGTGTCCAGGCCCAGAGGAAAAAAAAAAGTTTTATAGACTTTCCTGCCCAGGCTGGCTTTGAACTGTGATCCTCATATCTCAGCCTCCTCAGAAGCTCATTTTATTTTATACTATGCATAATGGACAACTGAAGCCAAATAATTAAGAAAGTCTGTGTTCTATTGTGAGACTGATACTTCCAAAACAAGTCTCACAGCCTCCTTCCTATTTGTATGTGTCCTGACCCTTCTGACCACCTATTAGTGCAACATATATTCTGTTCTATTCTTTTTGCCAGTTCTGAGGTTTGAACTCAGGGCCTGGGCAATGTCCCTGAGCTTCTTTTGCTCAAGACTAGAACTCTACCATTTGAGCCACAGTGCCACTTATGCCTTTTTCTCTTTATGTGGTACTAAAGAATGGAATCCAGGGCTTCATGCATGCTAGGCAAGTACACTACCACTGAGCCACATTCCCAGCCTGGCCCTGAATTTATCATCCCAATCTCTGCCTCTTGAGTATCTGGGATGATAGGTTTGAGCTACTAAACTTACCCATATGTTTATTTATTTTTGTTTTGTTTAAATCCACAATGCTAGCTGAGGTAAGCTATATGCCTATAATCCTACCTAGGAGGTTGAGATCTGAGGACCACGGTTCAGGGCCAGCCCAGGCAGGAAAGTCCATGAGACTCATTTCCAATTAACCACCAGAGAACTGGAAAAGGCGCTGTGGCTCAAAGTGTAGAGCACTAGCCTTGAGCTGAAGAGCTGAGGCATAGTGCCCAAGCCCAGAGTTCAAGCCCCACGACCGACAAAAAAAAAAAGTGCTGAGGGATAATGCCCAGGCTCAGAGTTTAAGCCCCATGACCAACACACACACACACACACACACACACACACACACACACACACACTTCATAATACTTAAATTGTCCTGGTATATTATTTCTTGTGAACATGGATTCACATTTATGTGGCACCTGGATGAGGTTAACAGTATCATCCAAAGCTAAGAAATAAAACAAAGTTGAATGACTCCTAAGAGTCAACTATGACCTTGGCTTTCTCAGCTCAAGTTTTAGCCAACAGAGCTAAAAATAGGAAGACTATCATTGCCACTTGATTATACTTAGGAACTGTTCTGAGAAATGGTGTTATGGGGAGACAAAGCAATTTATTAGAAATAGAAGTTCTTAGTAAGTCAGAACACGGTCTTCTCAGCCTCTGAGAGTAACAATAGAGCACAGATTTCTCATGCAACCAGAGCCTCAGGGAGAGGACAAAGGACATTTAGGACACATCCAGAAGCCATGACTAGTTTCTTCCTTTTTTTTGGTCGGGCGTAGGGCCTGAACCCAGCCTGGGTGCTGTCCCTCAGCTCGTCAGCTCAAGGCTAGCGCTCTACCACCTGAGCCACAGCACCACTTCTGGTCTTTTCTGCTTATGTGGTACTGAGGAATCAAAGCCAGGGCCTCATGCATGCTAGGCAAGCACTCTACCACTGAGCCACCTTCCCAGCCCAGCCATGACTAGTTTCTAACATTAGATAGCATTTCCACTGTCCCCTTATCCTCTAGTAGATAAGGATTTCAATAAAATAAAGTCCCAGGAGCTGGGCACCAGTGGCTCATGCCTGTAATCCTAGCTAATCAGGAGGCTGAGATCTGAGGATCATGGTTTGAAGCCAGCCTGGGCAGAAAAGTCCCCAGGAGACTCTTATCTCCTATAAACTACTCAAAAAAGCCAGAAGTATGGGCTAGGAAGGCTGCTCAGTGGAAGAGTGCTTGCCCTGCATGCATGAGGCCCTCAGCACCACATAAGCAGAAAAAGCAGGAAATGGCACTATGGCTCAAGTGGTAGAGCGCTAGCCTTGAGCTGAAGAGCTGAGGGACAGTGCTCAGGCCCAGAGTTCAGGCCCCAGGACCGACAAAAAAAAAAGTCAGAAGTAGTGTTGTGGCTCAAGCTGTAGAGTGCTAGCCTTGAGCACAAAGAGGCTCAGGACAGCACCCAGGCCCTGAATTTAAGCTCCAGGGCTGGCTAAAAAAAGAAAGTCTCAGGATGGAAACGTTTGAGTTGGGACTCAGGGGAATTTGATTTAGTGACAAAGCTGAAAGTAACTTGGAAACAAATAAAACTTTTTCTAACATCAAGATCCTTCCTCACAGCCCCATTAAGGCTTTGTATCATCCATAGCAGTGAGGTCAATAACCCACTTTGATAATGAACCTGAAAAGTTCCAGAATCCAGAGCTAATATGACATGCAGTAACTCTTTCTACCACAACACCACCATTACCCCTATCACCACACATACAAAAGCCGTGTGTGTGTGTGTGTGTGTGTGTGCGCGCGCGGGCGCGCGCGCGTGGGTGCGTGCACACACGTGCACACACAGGTGTTAGTCCTGGGGCTTGAACTAGGGTGCTGTCTCTGAGCATGTTTTTGCTCAAAGCTAGCACTCTACCACTTGAGCCTTAGCTCTACTTTTGGCTTTTTGCTGGCTAACTGGCGATACAAGTCTCATGAACTTTCCTGCCTTGGAATCACAATCTTCAGATCTCAGCCTCCTAAGAAGCGAGGATAACAGTAAGAGCTATCAGTGCTCAATGTTTTGTGTGTGTGTGTGTTTTTAAATATGACAGTACTAAAGGGGAGTCTTAATAAAAACTGACAAACATTTATCTTCTGAAGACTTAGGCAGAAAGAATTTGTAAGCAAAGGTAGATTTAATCCCTCAAGTAGAGTGGCAGGTCAAATATTTGTCTTTAAAGAACTATGTTCCAAAAGGATTTTTTAAGTTGAAAAGAAATGCAGATTATTTTTCCATTAAAACCTTGGAAACCACTGGCTCTCACCTATAATCCTAAGCTACTCAGGGGGCTGAGATCTGAGGATCATGATTCAAAGCCAGCCTAGGCAGTTAAGTCCATGAGACTCTCATCTCCAATTAACTACCAGAAAACCAGAAGTGGTGCTATGGCTCAAGTGGTAGAGCGCTCGTCTTGAGCTGAGGGACAGGACCCAGATCCAAAGTTCAACCCCCATGACCAAGAAAACAAAAAAACAAAAATCAAAACAAAAACATAAACCTTCATGTGATATTTACTGACGGCATTTTACAACTGAGCTTTTACTAGCATTTCAGCTCCCTCTGGTGGAAGCCTGTGGTCCTACAAGACCATGGAATGAGATTGGCCAGGCGTTGTTTACTTATTATTTACTTGGGAGGGTGTGGAGGTCAGTAACTTATATTTACAGTAGGCTACAAGACAAATGTGGAACCAGGCTGCAGAGGAACAAGGATTCCACAGTGGTGACTCTTTTATGTCTGTGAGCTTCACTCCTGACCCAGAGCCAAAATGTTTTCTCTGTTACATGACCACAGCAGTCTAATAAGACTAGCTAAGGATGGACTGGCACACATGCCCAGGCACATATGCGCAGGCTATGGACTAGAGTAAGGTGGTATGTCTTATACGGGGAATGGACCCATCTGAGCTCCAAAATGCAGAGATGTCAACTGATAAAGTAGCTGCTCTGTATCCTGCTGATCCAATTAATTCCTTTTCTGCATTCCTTTCCTTCTTATAGTCATTTAAGTTGGGAGCACAAAGAATTTAGCAGAATATAATGGAATGTCATATGCTAAACTGCAGAAAGACTGACCCACTCTTATGCTTTCTCTGAAATATAAACAGCATGAGTGCAACAACTTAGCAAAGTTGCAGGCAGGTAGGGACGAAGTACAAGACAAGCCTCTGTGCCCATCTCATGGACAACAAGGGCCACACATATGCAGGGGAACCTTGGCTCACCATGGAGTCTGGTTCAGCTGGCTGCTTAGACTGTTTGTAGTCCAATAGGATGGAAAGCACTGCCCTCCAGCCTGGCTCTGATGGAATGCTAGCATCCACTTCTGTTTCACCTTGCTCTCTGATTTCTTTACTGAATGTGATATTCACCCAAGGGCACCAGTCTCGATGTTGAGAGGTGGGATCGAAGAAACTTCGGGAAGATGTGTCCTGAGGACAGAGGAAGAGACATAGACAGGGTTAATGAAGGACAGATGCTAGGTCTATTCAGAAAATCAATTGTTGCAAAATCTTCCAACTGCTTGTATTTCTAGGTTTTTTTTTGTTTGTTTGTTTGTTTTGTTTTGTCAGTCATGGGGCTTGAACTCTAGACCTGAGCATTGTCCCTGAGCTCTTCAGCTCAAGACTAATGCTCTACTACTTTAAGCCACTGCACTACTTCCAGTTTTCTAGTGGTTAACTGGAGATAACAGTCTCATGGACTTTCCTGCCCCAGCTGGCTTTGAACCATGATCCTCAGAGCTCAGCCTTCTGAAGAGCTAGGATTTTAGATATGTATTTCTAGTTTTATGTTCTTCTTTGTGCCAGTACTGGGGCCTGAATTCAGGGCCTGAGTGCTGTCCTTCAGATTTTTCACTTAAGGCTGATGCTCTACCACTTGAGCTACAGTTCTGATTTTTGGTGGTTAATTGGAGATAAGCATCTCTTGGAAGCCGGGCGTTGGTGGCTCATGCCTATAATCCTAGCTATTCAGGAGGCTGAAATCTGAGAAACACGGTTCAAAGCCAGCCCAGACAGGAAAGTCCGTGAGACTCTTATCTCCAATAAACCACTAGGGAAACCTAGAAAACGGAAGTGGCGCTGTGGCTCAAGCGGTAGAGCATTCACCTTGAGCTGAAGAGCTGAGGGATAGCGCCCAAGCCCAGAGTTCAAGTCCTATGACCAAAAAAAAAAAAAAAAAAGTCTCTTGGACTTCAAACCATAATCCTTATAAAGCTAGACTCGTGAATAGCTAGGATTACAGGAGTGGGCCACCAATGGCTGTCTTATGTTCTCCTTATTTATTTAATTTTGCTTGTCATTATGAAGGTGACATACAGAGGAGTTACAGTTACATAAGTCAGGTAATGAATAAATTTCTTTTTAGAGAATGTCATACTTCTTTTACTCTCTCTTGTTTTTCCCTCCTATACTCACCCACAAGTTGTATAGCTCATAACACAGTGTCTAGTGATAGTTCTGCTGCATTTGTTCACCTTTGTCCCTCTTTTTCTGGGCCCCTCTTATCCTCACAAATTTTATTTTTTTGCCAGTCCCAGGGCTTCAACTCAGACCATGTACACTGTCCCTGAGCTTCTTCTGCTTAAGTCTACCACTTAAGCTAGAGCTCCACTTCTGGCCTTTTTTGGGTAGTTTATTGCAGATGAGAGAGTCTCATAAGTCTGGCACTGGTGGCTCATGCCTGTAATTCTAGCTACTCAGGAAGCTGAGATCTAAGGATTGTGGTTCAAAGCCAGCCTGAGCAGGAAAGTGTATGAGACTCTTTTTTTTTTTTTGGGTCCGGTTGTGGGGCCTGAACTCTGGGCCTGGGCGCTGTCCCTCAGCTCTTCAGCTCAAGGCTAGTGCTCTACCACTTGAGCCACAGCGCCACTTCTGGCTTTTATTCTTTTTTGCTTATGTGGTGCTGAGGAATCGAACCCAGGGCCTCATGCATGCAAGGCAAGCGCTCTACCACTGAGCCACCTTCCCAGCCCATGTATGAGACTCTTATCTCCAATTAACTACCACAAAGCTGGAGTGGAGATGTGGCTCAAAGTGGTAGAGCATTAACCTTGAGCAAAAAAGCTCAGGGACAGTGCCCAGGGCCTGAGCTCAAGCTCCACTACCTGGGCTGAATTTGAACGGGGATCCTCTGAATTCAACCTCCTGAGTAGGTAGGATTAGCTATGAGCCACTAGTGCCTAGCTTTATTTTTATTTGAGACAGAGTCTTGCTATATAGCTGAGACTGTTCTCAATCTCATGACTGTGCTTTCACATTCCTGAGAATATTCTTATTTTCTTCCCATTTCCTCCCTTTCTTTCATCCTCCCTCCCATTTTCCTTCCTTTTCTGCTTTCCTTTCTTTTGCAATATCAGTGTTAGAACTCAGTACTTGCTTGGCTTGCTTAACTGGTGCTCTACAACTTGAACTAAGGCTCCAGGCTCAGATTTTTGCTGGTTATTTTAGAGATAAGAGTTTCACAGACTTTGCTGCCTAGGCTAGCTTCAAACTGTGATCCTTCAGATTTTAGCCTCCTCAGTAGTTAGGATAACAGGCAAGAGCCACTGGCTTCTTTCATCGCCCCCCACCCCCACCCCCCACGCCTCTTTTTTTTCTGTTTTTCTCCTTTTGTCTCTGTTTTTGATTTCTGAACCCTTTGTCTTGTACATGTTTATCTGATTTGGGGAGCGGAAATGGAAGCATGGAAACTGTGGGACAAAGGGTAAACTAATTCAGCAGATACTCACTAGACACTAGAAATGAACTATATAACTTGGGTGGGGGACGGGACAAGAGTTGGGAGAGAAAAAAACTGGGAGAAAATGAGGGAATGACACTATTCAAAAAGAAATGTACTCATTACCTGACTATTAACTGTAATCCCTCTGTAATCACCTTTACAAAAAAAAAAAAATACAAAAAACCCCACAAAAAACAAAAAACTGGACTTTAGTAAGTTTGTCTCCTCCCTCACTGTTGTCCTATTAGTTTGAAATATTTACTCTTTCTCCAGACTCTAACCCAGAGGAATAGACGATAAAATCTTTAATGCTGGGCTGGGAATATGGCTTAGTGGTAGAGTGTTTGCCTCACATGCATGAAGCCCTGGGTTCAATTCCTCAGAAAAAGCCATAAGTGGCCGTGTGGCTCAAGTGGTAGAGGAAAAGAAACTCAGGGACAGTGCCCAGGCCCTGAGTTTAAGCCTTAGGTCTGGCAAAAAAAAAAAAAATTGCTTTCTCCTTGGCCAGCCATCTGTCCTATCTTTAAGTACACAGTATATTTTTGGCCATAGAAGCAGGTAGGGCTCATACCTTTTTCTCCGTGCTCACATGAAGGCCTGGCCTGCTGTTATGCCCAGTGAAGGCTACTGCATGAGTGGACTCACCGAGCTGCTGGAAGAGCAAAGGCGAGCCCGTTTGGCTTTCCGGAGAGGGCTCGACGGTACGTCAAGGCCAGTGCTGTCTCCTGTTCCCATGCTTCGAGTCACTGGGCGGCTTCTGGTGGTAGGGCTGGCTGCCTCTGGCTCAGGCCGCTCAACCGGACTAGAAGAGTCCCAACTTCGGGTTCTAGAGACAATGAGACCTGGGCTCTTTTCAGTCTGAAAGAAAAAGGGGAGTACATAAGTGATGTTGATGGTTAAGATTGCAATTTCTTTCAAAAGCAGGTAAAGGCTAGTATTTTATAGTTTAAATGATAAAAACTCAGCTTTTTTTTTTTTGGCCAGGCCCTTGAATTCAGAGCCTGGACACTGTCCCTGAGGTTCTTTTGCTCAGGGATAGCACTCTACCACTTGAGTCACAGCACTCTTCCAGCTTTTTCTGTGTATGTGGTACAGAGGAATCCAACCCAGGACTATGCATGCTACCAAACCCTCTACCACTAAGCCACATTCCTAGCCAAAACTTAGCTTCTGAATTGCCTCCATACCCACCATCTTCACAGACTTTTTTTTTTCTTTTTTTTTCTTTTTGTCGGTCATGGGACTTGAACCCTGGGCCTGGGCACTGTCCCTGAGCTCTTCAGCTCAAGGCTAGTGCTCTACCACTTGAGCCACAGTGCCACTTCCAGTTTTCTTGTAGTTAATCAGAAATGAGTTTCATGGACTTTCCTGCCTGGGCTGGCTTTAAACTGTGATTCTCAGATCTCAGCTTCCTGAGTAGCTAGGATTATAGGCATGAGCCACCAGCAATAAGCTAGACTATTCTATTTTGATGCTAAATTTCTAAAACACATTTAATTTTTCCACTAGTGAAGAGAAACATGATGAAGAAGCCTGCTGTTGGATGTGGTGGCACACACTTGTACTCCCAGCTAGCCAGACAGGCAAAAGAAGTAAAACCCTATCTCAAAAACAAAATAAAGGGCTGGGATGGTGGCTCAGTGGTAGAGTGCTTGCCTTGCATGTATGAGGTCCTGGGTTCGATTCCTCAGCACCACATAGGCAGAAAAAAGCTGGAAGTGGCGCTGTGGCTCAAGTGGTAGAGCTCTAGCCTTGAGCTGAAGAGCTGAGGGACAGCGCCCAGGCCCAGAGTTCAGGCCCCACAACCGGCAAGAAAAAAAAAAAAGCAAAAGGACTAGGGGCATAGCTCAAGTAGGGTAGCATGAGTAAGGCCCTAAGCTCAATTCCCAGTACCACAAAAATTAACAAAACAAAACATGGATATGATGACTCACATCAGTAATTCAACTACTCAGGAACTGGAGATTAGGAGATTGTGTTTAAAGGCTGGCTTGGGCAAAAAGTTAATCTCAATTAATAAGCTGGGCATGGTTTATATCTGAGGTTCTAGCTACACAGGCTGAAGGTTAGGAGGATCATGGTGTGAAGCTGGACCTAGGGAAATACTTGAGACCCTACCTAAAAAATAACTAGAGCCAAGAAAGGAGGCGGGTGTGGCTCACATAGTAGAATGCCTTCCTAGCTAGTAAGTGTAAGACCTTAAGTTTGGGGAAAAAAAGAAAAAAAAAAAAAAGAGGTGAAGGCTATTTGTCAATTTCCAGTTTTCTACCACCAACACTTTTAGCAAGAATGCTGTTAAGCTATGTTAATACCTGATCTGAACCTGGGAAAAACGTGGCATCCTGGCTCCGGGTCATCATCCTCCTAGGAGATTCAGGCACTAGAGGGAAGCGATCTGGCCGACCCTCGGTGCCTGAAACAGGGGAGCTGGAGAAGCCAAAGGACGCATCCAGGTCAGTCACAGACGACTCGATCTGCTGGAAGCCCCAGAGTCCCACCTTCCGCATACACTGTGAGCATGTCATCAGGGAGAGCTGCATGGGTTCCAAAGAAGAACTAGGAAGAAGCAGCAAAGAAAGTGTGTGTTTCCTAAGGGGCCAGTTCCATGTGCAATGACTTATATGTTTTATCTCACCAAACCAATCTCAACTGGTCTAGCTGGCGGGACCCATGTCCCCCTAGAGCCCTGTCCCTTCATTGCAGAACCTCAGCTCTGTCGCCACCCACATATTTTCTACATATTTTGGTGTGCTCTCTCCCAAAGCTATTTTTTTGGAGGGGCTATGGTTTTTTAACCGTCAAAGGGTTGTATGAGAGGGTTACAATTTGACATTTCTCCTTCTGTCCAATGAATTTTGATCAGTCACCCCTTCCATCATTCTTTGCCATCTCTCCTACCCCTTTCCCTGGAGGCCTATCAACCACTTACTTTTTCTCTTATGTACACTGAGTATTAATTAAGACTGTATTTGTCCTTGCCTATTTATCCACCACCTACCCATTACTCCCCCATTAACTGAAACTATGTTTCAGTTTCCTAATATTCATTTTGTTAAACTACCTGTAACTATTAGAGCTCCATGGAGTTTCACAGCTACATGTACTATACTTCAGTCAATGTCACAGTGATCTTGTATGCCCCTGTATGCATTTACCCTGTGTGTGTAACGGGAGGTTATATATTGATTCTAAGATCCCCAAGGCTATTTTGAAGTTTCTTTCATAAAGCTGTTCTGTCTTCTTAAATCCCTTTGTTAATCTACTGCAGAAAGCATGTCTGGGGTTAACCAAGGTCAGTTCTGACAGCCTTCACCTCAGAGAGAGGGTAGCCAAACTGGCAGCTGGGATGGAAACACCAACCAGGGGCATGTCGGGGACTCCAGGCTGGGGACTCCTTTGCTACTTCTCATCAATTGAGCTTATTTTCCTTCCTTTCATTTTCTTTCTATTCTTAGAGAAGAGCTTCACTGTTTATGGGAACACAAGTTCCCAGGTGGGAACTGGGAATACAAGACAGGAAACTTAGGTGCAAACACCATGCCTTCCCAAATTTGGATTCTCCCCTCCTCCTACCACTAATGTTTGCTTTGTTTCTTTTCTCACAGAAAACACCATCTGATTTCCAAATATGACCAGTGACTAGAATATATAGGTATGTATTATTGTCATGGTTTATACTCTCAGACAGAAGTAGCTGACTAACCTCCATGCCCAGCCACACAGAGAGAGAACACAGGCAGTGACTTGGACTTGGATGTCTGAACCTAATTTGCTTGCTGTTTTCCTCTCCTCAGTTACAGGGTCAAGTTCATCTTCAAGCAAATGTAGCAGATGACTGATCTTGTCTTCTGTCAAGCACTGAAGAGAATGAAGGTTAAAAAAAAACTTGAAGTTTTAATCACCATAAAAAGAAAATGTATTCAAGATAATGCAGGTAGATGGTAAAAGGCAGAATCCAGAGTAGAGAGGGCAAATATGAAGGCAGCATTTCCACAGAGAAGACTTATTCTAGGACTGGGCTAAGGGGTCACATAGCAGCTTTCAAACTGCTGACCTGCTGACCCAGAAATGGGGGTGGTTTTCCAGGAATTACCAAACTAATTTTTTTCAACTTACCAATTGTAGTTCTTTTTTGGGGGGGGGTCCGGTCGTGGGGCCTGAACTCAGGGTCTGGGCGCTGTCCCTCAGCTCTTCAGCTCAAGGCTAGGGCTCTACCACTTGAGCCATAGCGCCACTTCTGGCTTTTTTCTTTTTGCTTATGTGGTGCTGAGGAATCGAACCCAGGGCCTCATGCATGCAAGGCAAGCGCTCTACCACTGAGCCACCTTCCCAGCCCCCAATTGTAGTTCTTTCTAAAAATCTAAAACTTATAAAATTCAAACCCAAACAACAAAAATAGTTATTGTTGTTTTTTTGGCCAGTTCTAGTACTTGAACTCACAGCCTGGGCATTGTCCCTGAGCTTCTTTTTGCTCAAGGCTAGCAACTAACACTTGAGCCACAGCACTTCTGGCTTTTTCTGTTTAGATGGTACTGAGGAATTGAACTCAGGGCTTCATCATGCATTCTGGGCAAGCACTCTACCACTAAGCCACATTCCCTGCCCTGAAAATAGTTCTATTTATGTCTTAGTCTGACACTGAATTTACTTTCTGACAAAACAGAGTTTGCTAGCCTTGATTTTTGTGCTAAGCATAATAAAGAACTATGGGAGATGGGAGTTGCCTTGACCAGGGACAGTGTGATATTTACAACAGACACCAGAAGTTAATAGTTGACTGCTAAAATCTCCAGCATAATGTTAATGAAGGAAAGTCTGGGAATGTGGCTTATTGGTAGAAAGCTTGCCTAGCATGAATGAAGCCCTGGGTTTGATTCCTCAGTACCACATAAACAGAAAAGGCCAGAAGTGGTGCTATGGCTCAAGTGGTAGAGTGCTAGCCTTGAGCAAAAGAAGCTCAGAGACAGTGCCCAGGCCCAGAACTGGCAAAAAAAACAAAAACAAAAAACAAGGAAGCAAAATAATCAGTTTTAGCCGGGCGCTGGTAGCTCACGCCTGTAATCCTAGCTACTCAGGAGGCTGAGATCTGAGGATCGCAGTTCAAAGCCAGCCCGGGCAGGAGAGACCGTGAGACTCCTATCTCCAATAAACCACCAGAAAACTGGAAGTGGCCCTGTAGCTCAAGTGGTAGAGCGCTCGCCTTGAGCTGAAGAGCTGAGGGACAGCGCCCAGGCCTAGAGTTCAAGCCCCACGCCGACAAAAAACAAAAATCAGTTTTTACTTCCTAAAATACACATATCTTCACAGAGGACTTACAGGCTGATAATATGGGTCAGTAACATTCAACTTCAAAGAACAGATAGGCCAGAACATTTCAATGCATCTATTCCCAGGAAAAGGGAGTTTTCTGGTCCCCTAGTAATTGGGAAAATGGTATGTAATAAACCATTTGCAAGCTGTATGCTGGTGGCTCTCTCCTATAATCCTAGCTACTCAGGAGGCTGAGATCTAAGGATCGAGGTTTGAAGCCAGGCCAGGCAAAAAACAAAAACAAAACAAAACAAAACAAAAAAAATCCTGGGAGACACTTTTTTTTTTTTTGCCAGTCCTGGGGTTTGAACTCACCCTGAGCTTCTTTTGTTCAAGGCTAGCCACTCTACCACTTGAGCCACAGCGCCACTTCTGGCCTTATGTGGTACTGAGGAATCCAACTCAGGGCTTCATGCATGCTAAGTACATACTCTACCACTCAGCCACATTCCCAGCCCCAAAATCTGAGACTCTTACCTCCAAATAACCAGCAAAAGTCAGAAGTAGATCTGTGGCTCAAGTGGTAGAACATTAGCCTTGAGCAAAAAAGCCAAGTGAGAATATGAGGCTTTGAGTTCTAGCTCCAGTATAGGCATAAATAAATACATAAACAGACCATTTGCAGTCACATTTCAATATTTTCTATCAAATAGTCAAAGCAAGATAAAATTGAATTTATGCCACTGAAAGAACCATTCTAAATGTTGAAATGGAACTTATTAACTCAAACTCTCCATAGCTGCTCCTCTTTCCCTAACACTCTGCTTCCTCTTAGCATTAAAAGAAATGCTTTGCTACAAACACTGGTGACACCTGGAGGCCAAGAAAAACTCACCATGTTCTTCAAGTCCTCTGACCTCAAGGAAGGAAGCTGAAGGTCTAAGTGACAAAGGCTTTGAAAACGATCTAGGAATTCATTAACAAGGACAGAAGGCTCATCCAATGGCAATGTCCCAAATCGATCTATGGACAAAATAAGAAAATTACACTGGTGTTAACAAGTAAACATAAATAGAACAATCAGAGAAATGTGAAATGGAGGTGATATTAGACAATATTAAGAAATTATTGTGCTCTGTTCACAAAAACCAAACAACATGAGCCAGGCAATGGTGTCTCATGCCTGTAATCCTAGCTACTCAGGAGATTGAGATGTAAAGATCACAGTTTGAAGCCAGCCCAGGTGGGAAATCCTAGAGTCTTCTCCAATAAACTACTTAGACACGGCTGGGAAGTAGTTCTGTGGCTCAAGTGAGAAAGCACTAGCCTTTAGCCAAAGAAGCTCAGTTCAGGGGCTGGGAAGTTGGCTCAGTGGTAGAGCACTTGCCTTGCATGCTCGAGGCCCTGGGTTCGATTCCTCAGCACCACATAAGAAAAAAGCCGGAAGTGGCGCTGTGTGGCTCAAGTGGTAGAGCGCTAGCCTTGAGCTGAGGGACAGCGCCCAGGCCCAGAATTCAGGCCCCACTACCGGACCCCAAAAAAAAAAAAAAAAAAAAAAAAAAAAAGCTCAGTTCAAGCTGAGTTAAAGCCCAGGACCAGCACAAAAACAAACAACAAAGGTGCCCAACAACACATGAATGAAGAAAATGGCGAATACATAAATATATTTATGTAATATATAAAAGCCATAAAGAGAAATGGCATTGTGTCATGTATAGGAAAATGGATGAATTGGAATGTAATATATTACATCATATTGAGCAAGACAAATTAAGCTAAAACAAACAACAAAACAGATAATATATGTTTTTGTTCATTTGTGGAAGCTAGTCCTAAAAGACATACATACTCATAGACTGAACAAACATACATATAGTCCCCTATACATAACTACTTATATAAACACAGAATATGGCTAAGAAGGTGGCTTAGTGGTAGAGTGCTTGCCTAGCAAGCATGAAGTCCTGGGTTTAATTCCTCAGTACCACATAAATAGAAAAAGCCAGAAGTGGCACTGAGATGCAGAGTGCCAGCCTTGAGCAAAAGAAGCTCAGGGACAGTGCCCATGCCCTGAGTTCAAGCCACAGGACTGGCAAAAAAGTAAAATAACATAAACACAGAACTGAATCTCAGGGACTACTTAGGAGGAAAAGGGAAGGGAGAAGGAAAAAAAAAAGAGTAATTTTATAATACATTCCAAGTACATATGCAAAGCTTAGTGAAAGTTGTTATCAATAGGGATGTGGGGGCCAGGAGAGAGAAAAAGGTTCTGTGTGTATGAGGGGTTGGTACTAGCAGAAGGGGGATGGGCTAACAAGGAGGATGAAAGATGATGAATATGGTGAAAATAGATTGTTTGTAACTTTGAAAACTGAACAATGAAACCTGCTGAAATTGTTTTGGGAAGGAGAAGGGAGAGTGATATATAAATAATATAATGTTCTATGTAATATAATTTTATGTAATTTAACTTAAAAGATCTACAGATTAATAGAGAATCTTGCAACTAATCCCTCATGGCTAACAAGGGGTGACTGTAACAACTTACATAAAAATACTTGCTATCAATTTAAAAACATGAACCATTTCACTAAATATGTTCCTTTTACTTAGCATATGTGAAAATCTGGGTTCAATCTCCAGCACTACAAAAAAGAAAATGAAAAGGCAGGAGCCAATGGCTCATGCCTCTGTTTCTTTTTTTGTTTTGTGCCAGTCTTGGGGCCTAAACTAAGTGCCTGGGCACTGTCCCAGTGAAGTGCCTGGCTTCAAGCCTGTATATTTACTTAGGAGGCTGAGATCTAAAGGACTGAGGTTTGAAGCCAGACCAGGTAGAAAGTCCTCATGACTGCATCTCCACAAAATCAGCAAAAGGCTTGACTAGAAGTGTAGCTCAAATAGTAGAATGCCAATCAAACAAGCAAGCTGAGCAAGCACAAGGCCTTGAGTTCAAAACTCAGTACTAGGGCTGGAATGTGGCTTAGTGGTAGAGTGCTTACCTAGCAAGCATGAAGCCCTGGGTTCCATTCCTGAGCACTACATAAACAGAAAAGCCAGAAGTGGTGCTGTGGCTCAAGTGGAAGAGTGCTAGCCTTGAGCAAAAGACGTCAGGGACAGTGCCCAGGTCCTGAGTTCAAGCTCCAGGACTGGCAAAAGCAAAAAAACACCTCCCCCCGACACACACCAAAAAAAACCTCAGTACTACATTGTCCAAAAAGAAATGTACTCATTACCTGACTTATAAAATGGCAACTCCTGTGTACAACACCTTAATAATAACAATAAAAATGTAAATGTAAAATAAAAACCTCAGTACTAGCAAAACAATAAAAGGGGAAGACATTAAAGACACAGACATTAAAAAAAATCAAGAAAAAGCTGGGCATGAAAAAGGTTGGGAGGCAGAGGCAGGATTACAGGTTGGAGGCCAGCTCAGGCTGCAAGTTGAGATCTTATCTCAAAAAAGCAAAGCCAAGCAGGTGCCAATGGCTCACGCTTGTAATCCTAGCTACTGAGGAAGCTGAGATCTGAGGATCATGGTTCAAAGCCAGACTGGGCAGGAAAGTCCATGACAGGAAGTGGAGCTGTGGCCCAAGTGGTAGAGCACAAAAGCTCAGAGACAGCACCTCAGGTCCTGAATTTAAGGCCTAAAACTATCACACACACACACACACAAAATAAAAAATAGCCACACACACACACACACACACACACACACACACACACACACACACACACACACACACACACACACACACACACACACACACACACACACACACACACACACACACACACACACACACACACACACACACACACACACACGCGCGCCAGGTACTGGTGGCTCATGCCTGTAATCCTAGCTACTTAGGATCTGAGGATTGTGGTTTGAAGCCAGCCCAGGCAGAAAAGTCTGCGAGACCCTTATCTCCAATAAACTACTTAGAAAAAGCTGGAAGTGGCGCTGAGGCTCAAGTCGTAGAGCACTAGCCTTGAGTACAAAGAAACTTAGGGACAGTGCCTACGCCCTGAGTTTAAACCCCAGGGTCTGTGGGGGGGAAGAAAGGGGTTGGAGATTTTTGTCTCCAATTAACTAGCAAAAAATGATACTAGAGGCATGGCTCAAGTGGTAGAGCACTAACTGAATGAGCAAACGAGATCTTAAGTTCAACCCTTGATAGAGATAAAACAAAACAAAAGGTATGAATCAACCTCAAAAGTGAGGTCTGGAGAGAAATTAGATATCCCCAAGGAAGCAAAAGCTGTGAATGGGGTCAAGAAAGAAAAGCACATAGCAACAAGAACTGAGGACCTGGGCTGGGAAGGTGGCTCAGTGGTAGAGCGCTTGTCTTGCATGCATGAGACCCTGGGTTCCATTCCTCAGCACCACATAAGCAAAAAGAAAAAAGCCGGAAGTGGTGCTGTGGCTCAAGTGGTACAGCGCTAGTCTTGAGCTGAAGAGCTGAGGGACAGTGCCCAGGCCCAGAGTTCAGGCCCCACGACTGGAACCCCCTCCTCCAAAAAAAAAAAAAAAAAGAGCTGAGGACCAGTGACAGAGCCTAGAGTCACTTGCACTAAGTACTGAACAGGGATAGATTCAAATGCACACAAGACTGAGCTGTGAGAAACATAGGCTATCGGTAGGAAATCCTTGTCATATGATCACTTTCACTTAAACAATTTCATCAGAGGTCATCTTCAACCATATTTTTTCTCCTCTTAGTGGTCACTCATAGGGCATTCCTCACTATTACTGACCCTGGAATTAACTTGAGCTCTCCAACTTGAAATAAAAATCATATCTAACCTGCACCAATCCTTGATTAAGGTATATAAGAAGATATGGATGAACATTGTTGCTTTGTAACATGAAAGAAGAATTTTGTACTTGGTGAGATTTCTCCACCAGAGGGCTCTGCTGTTGAAGGTCTCAGCAGAAATATGTCTGCACGACCAACAAAATATTTTAATATCACAGGGGCTTACTAGGTTGAGGGCTTTTTTATTCAGAAGTCCTCAGCATACACACCAGTGTTTCCTATTTTAATGGAAATTGTGTCCTGACACCCCGTGGTACTGGGAAGAAACCTGAAGCATGGACTTGGCCCTTCCTGGTACCTGGCTGAGGCAGCCTTGGGCTGGGGTGATGTCTTACCTCAGTGCTGGGAGTCTTCCATAGCCATCATTAGTGCAACTAGTGAACCTTCTCTTTACAGGAACCAAGGTAAAATAGGAAGTGCTCAATGGGTAGAAGCAGAATTTGGAACCAGAGAAAATTATAGACGTGGCAATCCTTTAGTTCTTAATTTCCTCACCCCAAACAACTAATTGATGACAGCTGCCTCCCAGGGCTCTTGTGAGGATTCAATAGGACAAGCTCCACACTGTGAAGCCTACTGTACAACACAAGCACTTGATAAAGTTAAAACATAAAATGAAAATGTAAATGAATACAAGTTCTTGAAAAGTACAAATTGAGGAAAAACAAACTTCAAAGACTAGGTTTTTTTAAATAAAGTAATGAACAATATTAGAGGAGAGATCTAGGAGAGTTGATAAGTGGAAGTTGTCAAGTACCTGGAGAGGGGCTGTCTGGCCAGAAACAGAACTTTTCATGAGCAGTATACAATGATTTTCTCAGTTCAGCACAGCGTTCCTTATCTGAAATCCACACAGGTAACATGACTTAAAAAACACTACACAGATTCAAAAGCCAAAGCCAAAGAGCTAAAAGACTACAAATGCAACTACAGATAAAACGAGAGAATTAAAAAATATAAAAAGCAGTAGCAATATGATCTCAAAATTGTTCACAAAGTAAGTTAAACTGAGATCCTAAGATCAACACAAACATTACATAAATTATTGGGACATTTCAAAGTGTGAGCCTCCTAAAAGTCCTGTTTCTTTGTCCAAAATTATAAATTAAAAATAAACATTCCACAGATTGATCCATTGCAACAATGAGAAGTACAAGATGCTATGTCAAAAATCGAACTTTAGGGCTGGGAAGGTGGCTCAGTGGTAGAGCGCTTGCCTTGCATGCATGAGGCCCTGGGTTCAATTCCTCAGCACCACATAAGCAAAAAGAAAAAAGCTGGAAGTGGTGCTGTGGCTCAAGTAGTAGAGCGCTAGCCTTGAGCTGAAGAGCTGAGGGACAGCACCCAGGCCCAGAGTTCAGGCCCTACGACCAGACCCCAAAAAAACCCCCAAAAAACGAACTTTACAATTCAGGTGGGAGGGGGGGAGTGTAGTTGAGGAGGTGGGAGGGATAGGATGGTAGGGGAAAACAAAGAAGGGGGCAACAATGCTAGATATGAAATATACTCATTACTCTGTTCATGTAATTGTAACTCTGTACAGTATTTTCACAATAAAAAACTTATTTAAAAAATAAACATTCCAGCCGGGCGCTGGTGGCTCACGCCTGTAATCCTAGCTACTCAGGAGGCTGAGATCTGAGGATCACGGTTCAAAGCCAGCCCAGGCAGGAGAGACCGTGAGACTCCTATCTCCAATAAACCACCAGAAAACCGGAAGTGGCGCTGTAGCTCAAGTGGTAGAGCGCTCGCCTTGAGCTGAAGAGCTGAGGGACAGCGCCCAGGCCCAGAGTTCAAGCCCCACGACCGACAAAAAAAAAAAAAAAATTTCACTATCAATTACTTAGAATATATAAAGTCAATTTATCAAGCCAACTTAGGAGCTGCCTGGAAGTATATAGCCTCGGCTAGTCTTACTTAAATCCTCCATCCTGCTTCAGTGTCCTGAATGTTAGTATTTCAGGTGTGTCCCATATTGCCAGTTCTAAAACTACTGAGTCTTTGATTGTGGAGGAAAATGTAATCTCTACTTTATACTTACATCTGTCAAAGTCAAAAGCTGGCTGTAAACTGGCACAGAGAAAAGCTTGGCAGCTGGAACATTTGAGCATGTCACATTCAACTGTGACCCAGCCATATTTCGCACAGACAAGTGGAGATAGTTCAGGGGGCTTCCCTGCCCATTTCAAAGAGTATTTATGTTAAGAAAAGCAAGAATACAAGTACATAACAGTGACTAAAACAGAATTAAAACTTTAATAAACAAAGTTATGAGGTAAGCAGTAAGAAAAATTATAGACCGGACTGGGAATGTGGCATAGTGGTAGAGTGTTTGCCTCGCATGCAAGAAGCCCTGGGTTCCATTCCTTAGTACCACAGAAACAGAAAAAGCCGGAAGTGGTGCTGTGGCTCAAATGGTAGAGTGCTAGCCTTGAGCAAAAGAAGCTTAGGGACGGTGCCCAGGCCCTGAGTTCAATCCCTAGGACTGGCAAAAAAGGAAAGAAAAATTACAGACCAATTTCAAAGTACATACTTTGCAAAATGATGAAGGTCATTTGAGCATCAAGCAGAGTAATACATTAACTTTTGCCTTTAGGAAGCGTTCTACACACACACACACACACACACACACGAATGTGTCTGCATTTATATACATATATATTACTGTTTTTGTGTGCCAGTTCAGGAGATAGATTTTTTTTTTTTTTTTTTGTCGGTCATGGGCTTGAACTCTGGGCCTGGGCACTGTTACTGAGCTCTTCAGCTCAAAGCAAGCACCTACCAATTGAACCACAGAGCCACTTCCAGTTTTCTGGTGGTTTTATTGGTGATAAGAGTCTCACAGACTTTCCTGCCCGGGCTGGCTTTGAACTGTGATCCTCAGATCACAGCCTCCTGAGTAGCTAGGATTATGGGTGTGAGCCACCAACCAGTGCCCTGCGGGGATAGATCTTAAGTCTTTCACTCTCTCACTTAGCTTTTGCTCCTGGCTGGCACTCTACATTGAGCCATGCCCCTAGTTCAGGCTATTTTTTTAAAAATTTTGTTGGTCATGGGGCTTCAACTCAGGGCCGGGCTCTATCCCTGAGCTATTTTGCTCAAGGCTAGTGCTCTACCTCTTTGAGCCACAGTGCCACTGGTTAACTGGAGATGAGAGTCTCCCGGGCTCTTTTCTGCCCCAGCTGGCTTCAAACTATGATTCTCAGATTTTAGCCTCCTAGGATTACAGGTGTGAGCCACTGGCAGCCAGCCAGTTCAGGCTTTCTTTTTGCAAGTTATATGGAGATAAGAGTCTCCTTCATTTGTTTGGCCAAGCTGGCTTCCAACTTCAGCCTTTGAGTAGCTAGGATTATAGACATGAGCCACCAGTACCTGGCTAGTTCTCTGTATTTCATATGATTCAAATGTTTACTTTATAGCATATGAGTAGTTCTACTTATTTGTGAGGCTGAGACAGGAGGATTACTTGAGCCCATGAAGATAAGACCACCCTGGACAACATATAAAAACTCATAAAAAACCAACAACAAAACTACATTTTATTACTGATTGTAGAATGGAACACAGAGGCTATTCACTTTCATTCAATCTGAAATTATAGGAACTTTAAAACACTAGTGAAAGCAGGAAGAATTGCCTAAGCAATAAAGGACGGTCAACGTAAAAAATACAGATATGACTGTTACCACTGATCTATATTCTCCTATGGCACCACATCCATTAGTTCCAAAAAGTAAAAATTATCAGATAAACACGGGTAGCTCATGCCTATAATCTTAGCTACTGAGGATCAAAGTTCAAAGCCAACCTGGGCAGAAAAGTCCATGAGACTCTTATCTCCAATTAACCACTAAGAAGCCAGAAGTGGAGTTTTAGCTCAAGTGGTAGAGGCTAGTCTTAAGCAAAAAAGATAAGGGATCGCACACGGCCCGGAGTTCAAGCCCCAAGACCAGCACAAAAAGGGGAAAAAAAAAAACATTTGTCTTTGTGAGGGTAGGAGGAAAGAACAGAAATGGAGGGACAAAGAGTAACAAACAAAGCAGTGGTACTCACTAGACACTATGTTCAAAATGAACTGTATATAACTTGTGGGTAGGATAGGAGGGAAAAACTAGGATAAAGTGAAGGAAGGGGTGACACTTTCCAAAAAGAAATGTACTCATTACCTGACTTATAAAAGTGTAACCTCTGTATATCAGATTCATGATACCAAAACATTTTTTAAGAGGAAAAAAAGGAAAGCACTAATTTTCATAGCCAGATATAGTGTTTCATGCTTGTAAATGTAGCAAATCAGAAAGCTAAGGGGGGGAGTTACTGTAATTCAAGACAAGTTTTTGAGACCTCCCCCCATCTCAACCAATAAAAAAGCTGGGTGCTATAATGTGTACCTGTCATACCAGCTACGCAAGAAGCATAAACAGGACTACAATGTAAGATAGATTAGATAAAAAGGAAGACTTTATTTGAAAAAATAACTAAAGCACAAAGGGCTGAAAGTGTAGCTAGGTGGCTGAATACCTGTCTTGCAAGCACAAGGCCCTGATTTCAAACCTGTAATTGCTACAACAAATTTTTTCATTATTCTCCCAAGTTTATCATTTATTAATAGGTGGGTAATGTTTTTTATATAGTTGAAAGTATCTACAAGCATGCTCTTAGGAAAGAATCCTTAAACATTTACTGATGCTTGGCCTGGGACTATAGCTTTTGGGTAGAACACTTGTCTAGTATGCATAAGGCCCTTGACTCATTCCCTACTACTTAAACCAAAAAACAAAAAGAGAGCCAGGTGCGGGTGGCTCACACCTATATTCTTAGCTACTCAGAAGGCTGAGATCTAAGGATCACCATTCAAAATCAGCCCAAGCAAAAAAGTTCATGAAAGACTCTTAACTCCAGCCAGGTGCTGGTGGCTCACGCCTGTAATCCTAGCTACTCAGGAGGCTGAGATCTGAGGATCGCGGTTCAAAGCCAGCCTGGGCAGGAAAGTCTGTGAGACTCTTATCTCCAATAAACCACTAGAAAACTGGAAGTGGCGCTGTGGCTCAAGTGGTAGAGTGCTCGCCTTGAGCTGAAGAGCACAGGGCCCAGAGTTCAAGCCCCATGACCGACCAAAAAACAAACACACAAATGACTCTAAACAAACAATGACTCTCTAAATGACTACGAAAAAAAGCCAGAAGTGGAGCTGTGGTTCAGGTGCTACACTGCTAGCCTTCAGCAAAATAGCTCAGGACAGCACCCAGGCTCTGAGTTCAAGCCCCAGGATAGGGACACACACATAAAAAAAGAGAAACAATACTCATTAAAGACAATGCAAGAAAGTTATTTTTTTTTTCTTTCTGTCAGTCATGGGGTTTGAACTCTGGGCCTGGGTGCTGTCCCTGAACTCTTCAGCTCAAGGCGAGCATTCTACCACTTGAGCTACAGTGCCACTTCCAGTTTTCTGGTGGTTAACTGGAGATAAGAGTCTCACTTTCCTGCCCTGGTTGGCTTTGAACCATGAGCTTCAGATCTCAACCTCCTGAGTAGCTAGGATTAAAGGCGTGAGCTACTGGTGCCCTGCTGCAAGAAGTTTTATAGTTATAAAAAACAAACAACAACAACAAAAAACTTCTTTTCATTTTGGGGTGGGGCTGAGACCAACACTGGAACTCTGTACCTGATGCTTTTGCTCACTGGCTAGCGCTCTACTGAGCCATGCCTCCAACCCCAGAAATTTGAAAAGTATTCTAAAATCAGCAAAAGAAGGAATGAAGGCTAAAAAGTAGAATGTATATATAAATGTTAAAGTGCCAGTAGCTCTTGGCTATAATCCTACGTACTGAAGAGGTTGAGACCTGGAGGACTAAAGCTAGCCTGGGCAGAAAAGTCCACACAATTTCATATCCAATTAACCAGAAAAAAGTTGAGCTGAAGTGAGGTAAGCCAAGCTCAGAAAAACAAACAGTGCAAGTTTTCTTTCATATGCAAAGCTAGATCTAAAATACACTGGGACATGATAAATTATACAGGACTCTAGGCATTCATACAACCAAAGGAAGACACCCTTAGGAGAGAAACACAAAGGTGCAATGCCTATGTTCATTTTATCACACAAAATAATATTTATTGAAAAGAACTCTAGGTAATGGAAGCAGGAGATTTTCTCTTTGTTGCTATTTTTGTTCTTTGTCTTGTTTGTCCATTTATTTGTCTATGGGAGAGTAAAGGGAAGCACAGAAATGGAGGGACAAAGGGTAGGCAAATGCAGCAGTGGGATTCACTAGACACTATAAGGAAATAAACTATAAGGCTGGGAATGTGGCTTAGTGGTAGAGTGCTTGCCTAGCAAGCATGAAGCCCTGGGTTCAATTCCTCAGTACCACATATACAGAAAAAGCTGGGAAGTGGCACTGAGATTCAAGGGGTAGAATGTTAGCCTTAAGCAAAAGAAGCTCAGGGACAGTGCCCAAGCCCTGAGTTCAATCCCCAGGACTGGCAAAAAATAAAATAAAATGAACTATATAACTTGTGGATGGAGACAGATGGGACAAACTGGGGAAGAGAGAGAGAGAAGGGGTGACATTCTCCAAAAAGAAATGTGCTCATTACCTGACTTGTAAAACTGTTACCCCTCTGTACAACACCTTTATAATAATAATAATGATGATGATGATAATAATAATAAAAAGCTGGGCTGGGGGCTGACAAAAAAAAAAGCTCTTACCAAGATGATTTCAGTTTGATTTTTTTTTTTTTTTGGTCATGGGTCTTGAACTCTGGGTCTGGGTGCTGTCCCTCAGCTCTTCAGCTCAAGGCTAGTGCTCTACCACTTGAGCCACAGTGCCACTTCCAGCTTTTTCTGCTTATATGGTGCTGAGGAATCAAACACAGGGCCTCATGCATACAAGGCAAGCACTCTACCACTGAGCCACCTTTCCAGCCCACGATTTCAGTTTGAAACATCAGAATAAGCCATACATCAGTGGCTCATATCAGTAATACTAGCTACTCAAGAGGCTGAGATAGAGGATCAAGGCTGGACGTCAACCTGGGCAAAAATGTCTTACCTCCAATTAGCCAGGCATAATGCCACTGATCATTTAAAATACGAATTCCAGGATACAGAAACATGGGTTTTTGTTGTTGTTCGTTGCTATTGGTGGTGGTGGTGGTTGTGTTGATAGATTTTTTTTTTTTTTTTTTTTTTGCCAGTCCTGGGGCTTGAATTTAGGGCCTGGGTGCTGTCCCCTGAGCTACTTTTTGCTCAAGGCTAGTACTCTACTACTTCAACCACAGCACCACTTCTGGCTTTTTCTGATTAAGTGGTACTGAGGAATCTAACCCAGGGCTTTATGCATGTTAGGCAAGCATTCTACCATTAAGCCACATTCCCAGCCCTGATAGTTTTTTTTTTTTTTTTTGGGTCCAGTTGTGGGGCGTGAACTCTGGGCCTGGGCGCTGTCCCTCAGCTCTTCAGCTCAAGGCTAGCGCTCTACCACTTGAGCCACAGCGCCACTTCCCGCTTTTTTCTTTTTGCTTATGTGGTGCTGAGGAACCCAGGGCCTCATGCATGCAAGGCAAGCGCTCTACCACTGAGCCAACTTTCCAGCCCAGCCCTGATAGTTTTTGTTTTGGGGGGGTTATGTTTATTGTTTTATCTGTCTTTTGAGGGGAGGGCAAAAGGGAGGTGCAGAAATAGAGCAAGGGAGGATGAACAAATGCAGACATGGTACTCGATAGACACTGTGGAAAATGAACTATGCAACTTGTGGACAGAGACAGTAGTGGTCTAAAAAGATACCTACTCATTACCTTACTTATGAAATGGTAACTGTTCTGTACAATACCTTAATAATAACAATTATCTCTATAATAATAGTTATTATTACCTATCTCTCTATATATAGAGAAAAATCTACAGGAAAAAAAAATATGGACTGAAGTGTGGCTCAAGAGGAAAAGTGCCATCTGTTTTTCTTGAGAGCCTGAGGTCCTGAGTTTAAGCTCTAGTACAAGCACCAAATAAAATAAAATAGCAGAGTAAGTAGTGTAGTATTCTAGAGGAATGATAATTCCAGGAGCAAGTGGAACTGTTTAGGTTCACTGAAAAAGGATATGGAAAACGTTTCAACTCTGTTAAAGAAGGCTTCTTTGCTGGTGGATTCCAATGGTGGTTGCTCTGCTTCAGGCGATCCATTAACTGGCTGACCTTTGGGAGATGTGTCCTTCCTAAAATAAAGTAAAATGGTGGATAATCTTTCATTGTACCATTGTATCATCAATATCAACATCATATCATCAATCACCAACTATATTTATACAGCATTGGAATTTGCCCTTGTTTAATAGGCACTCTACCTCTAGTCCACATTTCACTTTCAGCCCATTTTGCTTTAGGTACTTTTTTGGGGATGAGTGGGGGGTGGGGTGGCTGGCCCTCGGGCTTGAACTCTGGGCCGAAGCACTGTCCCTGAACCTTTTTTGTTGTTGTTGTTGGTTGTGAGACTTGAACTCTGAGCCTGGGTGCTGTCCCTGAGCTCTTCAGCTCAAGGATAGCGCTCTATCACTTGAACCACAGCACCACTTCCGGTTTTCTGACGGAGATAAGAGTATGGGGGGTAGGGTGTTGGCTGGGAAGGTAGCTCAGTGGTAGGGTGCTTGCCTTGCATGCATGAGGCCTTGGGTTTGATTCCTCAGCAACACATAAGCTGGAAGTAGCATAGTGGCTCAAGTGGTAGAAAACTAGCCTTGAGCTGAAGAGCTCAGGGACAGTGTCCAGGCCCAGAGTTCAGGCCCACGACCAACCAAAAAAAAAAAGTCGCCTCATGGATTTTCCTGCCCAGGCTGTTTTTGAACCACTCAGATCTCAGCCTCCTGAGTGGCTAGGATTACAGGCATGATCTACTGGCGCCTAGCATGTCCCTGAACTTTTGGTGTTTTTTTTTTTTTTTTGGGTCCGGTCATGGGGCCTGAACTCTGGGCCTGGGCACTGTCCCTCAGTTCTTCAGCTCAAGGCTAGTGCTCTACCACTTCAGCCACAGCGCCACTTCCGGCTTTTTTCTTTTTGCTTATGTGGTGCTGAGGAATCGAACCCAGGGCCTTGAGCATGCAAGGCAAGCGCTCTACCACTGAGCCACCTTCCCAGCCCTGTCCCTGAACTTTTGTACTCAAGGCTAGAGCTCTGCCACTTGAGCCATAGCTCCACTTTCAGTTTTTTAGTGAATAAAGATAAAAGTCTCACGAAATCTCCTGTGCTTCCAACCGCCATTTTCTGCTCAGCCTCCTGAATGAGTTAGCCACTGATGCCCAGATGCTTTAGGCACTTTTTTGACAGGAAGGACCTCCATCCTATTTAAGCTTCCATGGGCTGGGAAGGTGGCTCAGTGGTAGAGCGCTTGCCTTGCAATGCTTGAGGCCCTGGGTTCAATTCCTCAGCACCACATAAGCAGAAAAAAAAAAAAAAAAAAAGCCAGAAGTGGCGCTGTGGCTCGAGTGGTAGAGTGATAGCCTTGAGCTGAAGAGCTGAGGAACAGTGCCCAGGCCCAGAGTTCAGGCCCCACGACTGGACCCAAAAAAAAAAAAAAAAGCTTCCAGGTGTAACTGTGATTTAAGGCACATGCCACCGTTATTTGCTTTTTCTGTTGAGATTGGGGATAGGGTTCCTCCCAAACATTTTGCAAGGGTTGGCCTGTAATTGAGATCCTCTTGATCTCAGTTTCCGAACAGCTGAGATGACAAGTGTGCACCACCTCACCCAGCTACTGCAGATGAGATGAAGGTTTAGAAATATTTTTTGCCAGGCTGGTTCTGAACCCTTAATTCTCCTGATCTCTGTCTCTTGAGTAGCTAACATTACAGGCTTGAGCAACAAGTGTCCCTGCCTAGGAATATTTATTTATTTTTGTTGGTTGTGGGGCTTGAACTCTGGGCTTGGGTGCTGTCCCTGAGCTCTTCAGCTCAAGGCAAGCACTCTACCACTTGAGCCACAGAGCCACTTCCAGTTTTCTAGTGGTTTTATTGGAGATCAGAGTCTCACAGACTTTCCTGCCCGGGTTGGCTTTGAACCACGATCCTCAGATCTCAGCCTCCTGAGTTGCTAGGATTACAGGCGTGAGCCACCAGTGCCCGGTTTATTTATGTATTTATTTATTTGCCAGTCCTGGAGCGTGAACTCAGGCCAGTAATCCTGGCCTAGGAGCACTGTCCCTGAGCTTCTTTTGCTCAAGGCTAGCACTCAACCACTGGAGCAACAGTGCCACTTCCGGCTTTTTCTATTTATGTGGTACTGAGGAATCGAACCCAGGGCTTCATGCATGCTAGGCACTCCACCACTAAGCCACATTCCCGGCCCTAGGAATAAATTCTTTTTTTTTTTTTTTTTTGGGGGGGGGGTCCTGTAGTGGGGCCTGAACTCTGGACCTGGGCACTGTCCCTCAGCTCTTCAGCTCAAGGCTAGCACTCTACCACTTGAGCCACAGTGCCACTTCTGGCTTTTTTCTTTTTGCTTATGTGGTGTTGAGGAATCGAACCCACGGCCTCGGGCAAGCAAGGCAAGAGCTCTACCACTGAGCCACCTTCCCAGCCCATCTAGGAATAAATTCTTGAGAACTACATTCCAACATAAACGTGTTTAATTTGATCTCGTTATTTGTTTTTATGCATTTAAAGTCTTTTTTTTTTTTCTGGAAAAGAAGTTCCTAAGCTTCCCCCACCAGAGTGTCAAATGGGTTCCACAGAAACGTTCTTTAGAACACCAGCTAAGAGTGTCAGGTGCGCTCATTCAGTTAGCTGTAGCCCTTTTTTCCTTCCGAAGTCTTCTGACAACATCCTGCAATCGACCAATCTTGGTAACCCCAGCCTCCCTCCGCGTGTAAGGACAATTAATCTCCACAGACGAACTCGCGGATGAAGAGAAGACACCCCCCCCCCCCCCCGCCCGCACTTTAGGCCTATCGTTCAGCGCCGGACGCAGGCAAGGACTGAAAAACTCACGCTTCTGCGCTCCCATCCTCCGGGGCAATCCCCTCGTCTATTAGCTGCCGAACTTTCTGGGGGGTTCCTTCAGGGGAACGAACGACTGTACCCCAATTCTTTTCAATTCCCGCGGCAAACGGCGTCTCCTCGCTGGGCGCCGCCATCTTGGTCCGTTGCAGAATTGCTTCCCCGAAGGTTCGAAGGCTCAGGCACTTCCGTTCTGGCAGGCTAGGATCCGCCTCCCGTGGCGGGAGTCGGCCTGTGCCACTTGAGCCACAGCTTCACTTCTGGCTGTTTGGTGATTCATTGGAGATAAGAGTCTCACTGAGCTTCCTGCCCTGGCTTGGAACTGGAGTCTCAGCCTCCTGTGTAGCAAGGATTACAGACATGAGCCACCCATGTCTGACCTCAATGTTTTTTACTGATGGATTTAGATGATGGAGTTATGGAGTTCATTACATTATTCTTTGTACTTTTGAATATGTTGGGAACGTATAACAAATAGCGAGACAAAAGCACATACTGTGCTTTTAATTTCATGACTTGTTGGCTTTTTTTTTTTTGGTCTGTCTTGGGGCTTGAACTCTGGGCCTGGGCGCTGTCCTTCAGCTCTTCAGTGAGCGCTCTATCACTTGAGCCACAGTGCCACTTCCGGTTTTGTGGTTTATTGGAGATAAGAGCTCACGGATTTTTCCTGCCCGGACTGGCTTTGAACTGTGATCCTCAGATCTGAGCCTTCTGAGTAGCTAGGATTACAGGGCTGAGCCACCGGTGCCTGGCTAATGTTACTTGTATTTATAAATTATTTATAAGTTCTTTACGCTTGCAGCACTTACATAGAAAATCAGGATAAATTTAAAATTAACTAGCCATAAAGTCCAGACAACTTATATTAACAACAGAAATATTAACTGGTATTGCTTTGCTAAAATATAATCGTGGTAACTAGGTGCAAGTGGCTCACATCTGTAATCCTAGTATCTTGAGAGGTTGAGATCTGAAGATCACTGTTCAAGGACAGCTTAGACAGAAAAGACCATGAGACTCTTATCTCCAATTAACCACCAAAAAGCCAAAAGTGGGACTGTGGCTCAAGTGATTGAGCACTAGCCTTGAGCAAAAAAGCTCAGGGTCAGCACCCAGGCCCTGAGTTCAAGCCCTAGGACCAATACACATGTGCGTGTGTGGGAGTACACACACACACACACACACACACAAACTATATATGTATATGTATACATATGGAAAAAGTAGAAAACTATATCCCCAGTTTAGAGTCTTTATTTAATCTCTTGTATATTTTAGTTTTAAAATTAATACATGCAGAATGTAACTGTCCAGATATGCTTGTCACACCAAAAATACAAAATTAGTATAATTCCAAGGCTTTCTTTATTCAGGATAATTGGGCTTAATAATCCACAAAAATGTGCCCATACAGTGTTCCTGTAATGTCAACTTAATGAGATGTGACTTGGTATCTTCATAAGCTGTCTTGTTCCCATTGTAGTTAAGTTAGTGTTACTGCAATCTGCATTACATAAGTATCTAAACCAATTATTGCTGGACCTGGGAACAGGAAATAATATCTAGACTTCAAGTTCAATTATTACAGATATTGAAAAACTGGTCTGGCACTTTCTATTAAGATTGTTAAAGGAAAGAAGGGAAAACAACTGTCTCATTCACCTCATTAAAAGTTGACTGACATTAATCAAGCATCTAGTTTTTATTGGACTTGAAATATTAGAACCAACCACTATGAATCATGCCAGATTGTCTGCTGTGATGTAATGCAGGTTTCATTTGGTATGAGAGTATATTCACATGCTACTCAGCAGCCTTTCTCCTTTTATCATTGGCCTATGACAGCTAAAGTAATAAATTGTTTTATCATATGATATCATTTTCATAATGCCCAGTAGAAAAAATGGAACTTATTAAATTGACTTTTTTCATTTTTTAGTTATGAAATACTATAAGTAATGGCTGTGAAATCATATGACTTAGTGATATTGTACTTAAATAATAGTCTAAATAGGAATTCCAATCTTTAATTATGTTGCTGTCCAACATTTATTGTATCACCTGATTAGTATGGAAGGTGGAAGACACTTGGAAACAGAACCTTTTCCCTTGAGGCTGCAGCCTTGGGGGTGCCATCATCAATGGCATTGGACACGTCCCAATACAAGTCCTCCATTCAGTTCACTAGCTAGTGATCTTTGGATACATGATTATTAATATGTCTCTCCATTGGGATTCTGTCTAATCTCCTTGTCTTCTTAGCACTTTTTTTGTTGTTGTTTCAGTTTGTTTTTGCCAGTCCTGGGGCTTGACCTCAGGGCCTGAAGACTTTTTATGAGCTTCTTTTGTTCACTTGAGTCACAGTGACACATCTGGCTTTTTCTGTTTATGTGGTACTTAGGAATCAAATCCAGAGCTTCATGCATGTTAGGCAAGCACTCTACCATTAAGCCTCATTTCCAGCTCTCCTTTACCTTTTAATAGCAAAACCTGAGGTCTTTTATCTAAACCTCAAAGGCAAATTCTGGGGGAAGAGGAAGGTTGGATAATGGGTACCACAATGTTGGTCATGGGGCTTGAACTCAGGCTCTAAGTGTTGTCCTTGAGTTTTTCTGCTCAAGGCTAGCACTCTACCACTTTGAGTCACAACTCTACTTCCAGTTTTATGGTGCCTATTTGGAGATAAGAATCTCATCTATTTTCCTGCCCAGGCTGGCTTTGAACCTCGATCCTCAAATCTCAGCCTCTGAGTAGCTAGGATTACAGGTGTGAGCCACTGGTGCTTGCTATGACTAGAGTTCACAACAATTTATATATTTTATAAAGAGCTAGAAGGGAGGAGTTTGAAGCATTTCAGTACAAAGAAATAACAAATGGGCTGGGAAGGTGGCTCAGTGGTAGAGTGCTTGCCTTGCATGCATGAGGCCCTGGGTTTGATTCCTCAGCACCACATAAAAAAAAAGTCGGAAGTGGCGCTGTGGCCTCAAGTGCTAGAGCACTTGCCTTTGAGCTGAAGAGCTGAGGGACAGCGCCCAGGCCCAGAGTTCAGGCCCCACGACTGGAGGCCCCCCCCCAAAAGAAATGACAAATATTTAAAAAGAGATTGCTGTTTTCCATGATATGATTATTATACATTATGTACCTGTATCAAATTATCACATGGTACTTCCCTAAATGTATACAACTGTATTATTTATTTAGTGCTCTGAACTTGGCCTTGTGCTTGCTAATCAGGTGTTTCACTACTGAGCTCCAACCCTTTATTCAAACTTATTCTTCTGAGGTAGAGACTTGCTTTTTGTCTGAGTATCTGCCTTGATCTCAATATTCTTATTTTATGATTTCCACGGTAGCCTTTACAACAGATCCAGGCTCACCAGGCCAAGCTTCTTCAATTGAAATGGAGTCTCTTGAAGACTTTTTTCCCCCAGGCTCGATGGAAACCTCAATTCTCATCTCAGTGTCCCACATAGCTGGGATGACAGATGTTCACTATTATACCCAACTATTGACTGAGAAGGGACTTCCATGAATTCTTTACTTGGGGCTGTCCTCAAACTGCAATCCTTCTGATTGCAGACTGATCTCAGAGTAACTAAGAGTACGATCTACTGGTACCTGGCTTTAGTATTTTTTATAATTTTTATTTTTTTGTCAGTTGTGGGCTTGAACTCAGGGCCTGGGAGCTGTCTCTGAGCTCTTTTGTTCAAGGCTAGCACTCTACCACTTTGAGCTACAGCTCCACTTCTGGTTTTTGAGTGATTAATTAGAGATAAGAATTTCTCAGGGGGGCTGGGAAGGTGGCTCAGTGGTAGAGTGCTTGCCTTGTATGCATGAGGCCCTGGGTTCAATTCCTCAGCACCACATAAACAAAAAGAAAAAAGCCGGAAGTGGCGCTGTGGCTCAAGTGGTAGAGCGCTAGCCTTGAGCTGAAGAGCTGAGGGACAGAGCCCAGGCCCAGAGTTCAGGCCCCACAACCAGACCCCCCCCCCAAAGAAAAAAAAAAAAAAAAAAGAATTTCTCAGGGACTTTTCTGCCCAGGCTGGCTTTAAACCATGATCCTCAGATCTCAGCCTCCTGAGTATTTAGGATTACAGGCATGAGCTACCATTACCTGGATGTTTTTGTGTGTTTGTCTGTTGTTGTTGTTGTTTTATCATTTTAAAGATAAGATTATGCTTTTTGCCTAGGCTGCCCTGGAACTTAGATCTCATGATCTCTACCTTGACATTGCTGAATGACATCCATGTGCTACTACATCTAGCCACTGGTTGAGAAGGGATTTTCTTGGTATTTTTGCCTGGGCTAACCTGGAAATACAATCCTTCTTTGCTCTTACGTTGATCAAATGCCTGCCTGGGTAGGATGAGACCGGTATTTTAGGGTGCTGTAGTCTATCCTGTCATCCAGAGGGCTATCCAACTTGAATATATATAGACAAGATTTTTCAAGATCTTTGTGTTACTTTTGCACCAGTCCCTTGACAGGTTGCTCTCCATTCTCCTCCTCCTCCCCCTTCTCCTCCCCCTCTCCCTCTCTCCCTCTTCCCTCTCCCTCCTCCTCCCCCTCCCCTCCTTCCTCCTCCTCCTCTTTTTCTTCTCCTCCTTCTCCTTCTTCTTCTCCTCCTTCTCCTTCTCGTTCTCCTTCTCCTTCTTCCCTCCCCCTCCTCCTCCTCCTCCTCCTCCTCCTTTCCTCCTCCTCCTCCTCCTCCTCCTCTTCCTCCTCCTCCTCATAGGACTTTATTTTTCAGAGTAGTTTTCAGTTCTCAGCAAAACTGAATGGATAACACGGATAGCACCCACCATTCCTCTCCCCTGTACACAGCCTCTCCATTCATTACTATCCCACACAATGTGTGGCTCATCTGTTATAATCAATGAACCATTGGTGATACATCATTATGAGCCAAAGTCCATAGTATACATTAGCACAATCTAAACTGTTCTTACAAACTAGTTTATTAAAAAGTCATTTATGAGGGAAAAACTCAGATATACATACATATATATATATATATATATTATATACAAAAGAAGAGAGAGACTACATAACAAATGCCAAGTAGCACAATCCATTTACATTAAATAGCAACTCACTGTTTCATCTGCATTGTTACCTAGTCTCCATCCCTTACTCCATCTTC